AAGCTGGTTCTGTGCTGGGGATAACTCTGGAACCACTGGAGCTGATTGTTCAAAAAAGAATGCTGCACAAGATGATGAAGATGATGGAGGATTCTTCTCACCGTCTCCACAACACAGTGAAGAACCAACAGAATGTGTTTAGTGGGAGGCTGCTTCAGCTTCACTGTAGAACAGAGAGATGCAGGAATTCCTTCCTGCCAACAGCCATCACCTTAAAAAACAAATCCAACTGACTGACTGATTATTATTGTTGTATGTGTATGTGTAATATGTTATATTGATTAAAAAAAAAAAAAAAGTGAGCTTTTACAAGACTGAATTTCCCTTCTGGGATAAATAAAGTATTTTTCATTTCATTTCAAATGGTGGAGTTATGGGTCTTCAGGCCTGACTGACCTGCAGCATCCAGTCACCATAAACCTGTTTTCTTCTTTCTCTTGCATCGGTGGCATTTTGGCATTTGAATAAAACTGCATTTTAAGGAGCTTTTATAGTCACTGGTGAAGGGAGAAGGTCACTATGGTTGTCCTCTAAAGACACATTTGAGCAGACTGTGGTGTAAGTCAGTGCTGGAGAATTTACCTCCAGTTGAACAGAAGACTTTTGGTTTGGGGGGTACCAGGTGAGCAGATGGAGAGCAGTAACAGAACAGAATAATAAATATGAATAGAAGGATTGTGGGGGTCGGGGAGGCCAGCGGCTGCAGGTCAGAGATGTGAAGCTCTGGATCCAGAGACGTTTGCAGAGAGAACAAACAGGAGCCCTGCACTAAAGGGAAGTGGTGGAGGTGAAGCAGCTTCATTGTTAAAGGATCTGACGGACTGTTGATCATCCAGGGAGGGAGCAACCTGCAGCTCCTTCATGCTACTGAACTTTGTGTTTACGTTTTGTGCTTCCTTTGCGGTCTCATGCGTAAGTGAAGCCATCAAACACTCTCTGCAACAGTTTTCTTTTTGCTATTGACAACACTAGTTGTTGGTCAGCCAGACCTGTTAACGAGGGGTTAACGAGGGGTTAACGAGGTGTGAACACAAAGCCAGACTTGATTTTTGACAACATTAGGAGAAGTCAGCTTGGATTAGAGAGGTGACGTCACTTAAAGTCTGTCACATTTCCATGTTGTTGATGTTCAGCTTTTAAAGCCGTCTGATGCTGTCAGAGGTTACAATGCGTAACCATGGAAACTGCTGAAACTGCATGAGAAGAGCTGGCTGAGTTGACTGCCTGACCTCCTCACCAGCAGAGGGCGCTGTGATGATCCGCTCTGGGACACACAACATGGTCAGCGTGCTGCTAGCAGTCTGAGCGACCAGCTGACAGCAGGTTAGGGTTAGCCTGTCTGACAGAAGCAGCAGCATTCAACATGGATACCCGACAGACTTTAAGAGATGCTTTGAGATGTTCTTCCGTTTGGATGCTATATCCCGTCCGGCTCTGCAGTTAGTGAGTTAATGAAAAGAGGAACACGTTCAAACCTCTGTTGAGCAGGGCCGGGCCTACAAAACAAAACCACACACTATTGGAGAGCTTCATTTTGTCGAGAGCTTCATCACGTTTCTGAAACACTGCGTTCAAAACATTTGCTTTCTATGGCCAACATTGATTCATCGTGCAGAGGCTGAAGAGTGACTGCAAACACGTTCCTGAGCAACCGACAGGAAACACATTCGTCAAATATCTTATTTTTCCTTCACTGACAACTTTCTGCTTCGTGCTGCTGCATGAACACGTCACCAGCTGCACAAGAAACTGAAATCTGACAAAGTGCACCAAGCGCAGTGACCCATGTTCTCCTGAGGTTCTGTTCTGTTCTATCTTTGAAAGCAGCAGTTCTCAAACTGTTTGAGCCACGACCCCCAAGACAGCATCAGTCTGTGTTTGTGGAGTTTTTAATATCTCATGAGTAACAAATCTGTTGTTCATCATTAATGTGTTAAAATGAATGCGTTCATTCCACAGACTGATTTCTCTACGTTAACATGATCATTTTCTTTTGAATGAATGAATGAAATGGAGAAAAAATATGAAAACAACAGAAAATATTGTTTTTTAAAAAGCAAAAGACGAAGAAGAAGAATATCACAAAATCACATCATGATGTTAACGAGTCCCAAAAAGGAAGAAGTGTACACAGCCCTGATACACAGCCACCATCTACACACCGCTTCATCCTCACCAGGGTCATGGGGGGCGGAGCCTATCCCAGCTGACTCAGGGCGAAGGCAGGTTCACCTGGACAGGTAACCGGTCTGCTCTGATACACATTTATCTGACAAATGGAAGCTTTATTATTATTTTTATTTATTTTTTTACAACGATCTGGCGACCCCCTGAATTATCTTGGGACCCCCATGGGGGTCCAGACCCCCAGTTTGAGAACCACTGTTTTATAGAACAAAGAACTTGTAGATAACGAGCTCGTTAATAAATGAAGTGAAAGACAAGCAGTGGAACACGTTAGTGCTCACTGGAAACATCACGGGGACACCTGGACCTCGTTCAGCCGTGGTCCTGCTGTTCAGACAGACACCTGGACACCTGTGGGGGGAGCAGCTCACCTGTCAGGTCGTGGTCTGAGAAACTCTGCAGCTCTCTGAAGACCTGGTTCAGGCTCGAGTTCAGGTTCTTCATCCTGCTGTGAACATCATCCTGGTTCCTCTGAATAAAGTCCAGGACTCCTCCGTGATGGACCACTGACTCGTTCAGACCAGAAACACACGTCCACAAGCTGGACACGTGTCGGCTCAGCCCTGGACACGGAGACATCAGAGGACACGTCATGGAGCACCACAACATGAGACACAAGACAGCAAAGGACACACAACTACAGGACACACAACTACAGGACACACACCTACACAGGACACACAACTACACAGGACACACAACTACAGGACACACA